TACAGCAGAGATATCTGACTATAAATTGGTTTCAAATGTCCCTACAGGGTTCCTGCTCCATCAGGTGCATCAAGAGAGAAAGGCTGGATGCTGCTGTCAGTGGCAGTTAAGAACTTCCCTGATGTTCTGTGACAGTTAAGAAGCAAGTCTACCTGGAGCATTGCAGCTGACCTCTTGGTCAGAGGTCATGAGTTCTCAGGTTCCTCAGTGCTAGCCTGAATAAAACACCCTTTTACATGTTCATAACCAAGTATGTATAATTTTCATTTTGAAGCACTTTTCACTTATATTCAGTATATCATCTTGCTATTTCACATAACTGAAAGAATTTTATGTATTTTTCTATGCCAATACTTGGATTAGATGGGTCTCAAGACCAGGTTAGCAGAGTTTTCAATCCCAAGTGGGCAGCACTCATGCAAATGAGGATCGTTTTATTTTATTAATAATAAATTAATGATTTAAATAATTAATAAATAAGTCTGTGGTTTTCTCTTCATACTATTTTTGCCTGGTTTTGGCATCAGGTTCATACCAGAATCAAAAAAGGAGTTGGGAAGTATTGTCTTCTATTTGCTGGAAAAGATTATAGAATTGGTGTTAATTCTTCAAGCATTTGGTTGAATTTTCATGTGAAATAATCAAGACCTAGAGATTTCTTTTTTCAGGTATTGTGAATATTGCAAATTCAATTTCTTTATTAGTAACAAGAGTATTCAAATTATCCATTTTATATTAGATATGATTTGGTAGTTGTGTTTCTTTTTTAAAAAATAGAGGTATTATTGTCATATGACATTATTATATTAGTTTCAAGTATGCAACATAACTATTCAATATTTGTATATTTGTATATATTGCAAAATGATCACAAGTCTAGTTAGCATTTATCACTACACATAGTTATCATATTTTTTATTATTTGTGATGAGACTTAAGATTTACTTTCTTAGCAACTTTCAAATATGCAATACAGTGTTATTTACTACTAGAGGCCTGGTGCATGAAATTTGTGCCCTCGGGGTGGGGTTCCTCAGCCTGGCCTGCGCCCTCTTGCAGTCCAGGAGCTGTCAGCCACTGCCGCTGCACTTGCCAGCTGTGAGCCCAGCTTCTGGCTGAGCAGTGCTCCCCTGTGGGAGCACACTGACCACCAGTGGGCAGCTCTTGCATTAAGCATCTGTCCCCTGGTGGTCAGTGCACATCGTAGCGACCAGTCGTTCCACCATTGGGTTGATTTGCATATTAGCCTTTTATTATATAGGATAGTCACCACACTGTATATTACATCTCCATGACTTATTACTTCATAATTGGATGCTTGTGCCATTTGGCCACCTTCACCTATTTCACTTACCCCCTCACTCCCTGCCACATCAACCACCAATCTGTTCTTTGTAGCTATGAGATTGAGGTTTGTTTTGTTTGTTTTTAGGTTTACATATAAGTGTGATCACATGGTATTTGTCTTTGTATGTCTTTCCTAGTTCACATAGCACAATGCCCTTGAAGTCCATCCATGTTGCAAATGGCAAGAATTCATTCTTTTTCATGGCTGAATAATATTCTATTTTATACGTATAACATTTTCTTTATCCATTCATTCATTGATGAGCACAGGTTGTTTCCATATCTTGATTCTTGTGAATAATGCTGCAGTGCACATAGGGGTGAATATATCTTATTTTAGTGTTTTTGTTTTCTTAAGATAAATACCCAGAAGTGGGATTGCTGGGTCACCTGGTAATTCCATTTTTAATTTTTTGAGGTTCCTCCATACTAGCTCCCATAGCATGGTACCAATTTACAATCTTACCAACAGTGCACAAGGTTTCCCTTTTCTCATGCTAGCATTTTTTCTCTAGTTTTTTTTTTTTTTTTTTTTTTTTGTAATTGCCTTTCTTGTGCATTTTTAAATATATTTTTTATTGTTGATAGTATTACAGATATTTCTCATTCCCTCTCCCCTTTCCTTCCAGCCCCTATCTCCCAGGTCTTCACTACCCTATTGCCCATGTTCATGGGCTATGCATAAAAGTATATAGGTTCTTTGGTTTAATGTCTTCTCATCCCTCCAACCCCACATCAAGGTATGTCAGTCTGTTCCATGCTTCCTTGCTTGCTTCAGGTCTTATTTTGTTGGTCAATTCATTTTGTTCATTAGATTCCACAAATAAGTGAGATCATGTAATATTTCTCTTTCTCAGTTTGGCTTATTTTACTCAGCATAATACTTTCCAGGTCCATCCATGCTGTCCCAAAGGGTAAGAGAACCCTCTTTTGTTACAGCTGCATAGTATTCCATAGTGCAAATGTCCCACAGCTTTTTTATCCACTCATTTACTGAAGGGCACTTGGGCTGTTTCCAAATATTATCTATTGTAAATAACACTGCTATGAACATAGGGGTGCATATATTCTTTCATATTGTTTTTTGGGGGGTTTTAGGATATATTCCCAGAAATGGAATTGCTGGGTCAAACGGAAGTTCCATTTTTAAATTTTTGAGAAAACTCCATACTGTTTTCCATACTGGCTGCACCAATTGGTATTCCTGCTAGCATTGAACTAGTGTTCCCTTTTCTCCACATTCTCACCAGCACTTGTTGTTTGTTGATTTTTTTTTATGATAGCCATTCTGACAGGTGTAAGGTGATATCTCATTGTGGTTTTAATTTGTATTTCTCTGATGATTAGTGAATCTGAGCATTTTTTCATGTGTCTCTTGGCCATTTTTATGTCCTCTTTTGAGAAATGTCTATTCAGGTCTTCTGCCCATTTTAAAAAATATATATTTTTATTGATTCCAGACAGGAAGGGAGAGGGGAAGAGAGATAGAAACATTAATGATGAGAGAGAATCATTGATCAGCTGCTTCCTGCATGCCCCACACTAGGGATAGAGCCCACAACCCGCTGCCCATTTTTAAATTGTTTTTAAAATATATATTTTTATAATCCTCAGGCAAGGATATTTTTCCATTGATTTTTTTTTTTTTAGAGAGTGTAGAAGGGAGAGGGAGAGACAGAGAGAAATACCGATGTGAGAGAGACACATCAATTGATTACCTCCTGCATGACCCCTACCAGGGCCAAGAGCCTGCAACTAAGGTACAAGCCCTTGACCAGAATCAGACCCAGGACCCTTCAGCCTGAAGGCCTATGCTCCATCCACTGAGCAAAACCAGCTAGGTTCCACTGCCCATTTTTTAATTGGATTGTTTGTCTTCCTTTTGTTGAGCTATAGATAATTGCCATTTTGACAGTTGTGAGATATCTTGTGGTTTTGATCTGCATTTCCCTGATTATTAGTGATGTTGAACATCTTTTAATACAGGCAGACCTCGGGTTATGTCGGACTCGACCTACATCATTTTGTGGTTATATCACCATCTCCCATTTACAGTATTTATAAAAAAAAAAAGTTCTGTCATTTCGATGTATGTACATATGTGCTTTATGTTTTTTATTATTTATTTAACACAAGTAAAGGTCAGGAACTGTTATCTTTTAAATTTTTTTTACTGTTTCACTTCATTACTGCTGTTTATGTGCTCCATGTGAATGACATAGGTGCTTACGTCGGTGGGCTCTGACTTATGGCGAAAATCATGTTCCGTCGCGCTGTAGGAATGGATCTTCGATGTAACCTGAGGACCTACTGTATACCTGTTGGCAATCTGTATGTCTTCTCTAGAATAATGTCTATTCAGATCCTCTGCCCACTTTTAAATAGATTGTTTGTTGTTGTTGCTATTGAATTGCATGAGTTCTTTTTATATTTTGAATATTAACCCCTTATCATATATACTAGAGGCCCGGTGCACGAAATTCGTGCGGGGGGGAGAGGGGGGTGTGCGGTTGTACCTCAGCCTGGCCTGCACTCTCTCCAACTGGGACCACTTGGGGGATGTCCAACTGCTGGTTCAGTCAGACATCCCTCTCACAATCTGGGACTGCTGGCTCCTAACCTCTTGCCTGCCTGCCTGCCTGCCTGATTGCCCCTAACTGTTTCTGCCTGCCTGCCTGATTGCCCCCTAACCATTCCACCGCCAGCCTGATTGCCCCCTAACCATTCTACTGCCAGCCTGATTGACGCCTAACTGCCCTCCCCTGCCGGCCCGACTGCCCCCAACTGCCCTCCCTGCTGGCCTAATCTCACCCTCAACTGCCCTCTCCTGTTGGGGACCTGATCTTGCTCCCAACTGCCCTCCCCTGCTGGCCTGTTTGCCCACAACTGCCCTCCCCTGCCAGCCATATTGTGGTAGCCATCTTGTGGTGGCCTTCTTGTGATGACATTGTGTGAGGGCGTTGTGCGAGGTTATGATGCCACCTAGGCTTTTATTATGTAGGATGATTTGCAAATATTTCCCCCCATTCAGTAAGCTGCCTTTTCATTTGTTGATAGAGTATGTAACTTCAAAAAATACTAAAATGAAATGATTTTTCTTTACCATAGAAATATTTATTTTTACCTTTTGGGGGGAGATATAATGCAGAAGAATACATAAAACTATCTATACCAGGGGTGGGCAAACTTTTTGACTTGAGGGCCACAATGGGTTCTTAAACTGGACCGGAGGGCCGGAACAAAAGCATGGATGGAGTGTTTGTGTGAACTAATATAAATTCAAAGTAAACATCATTACATAAAAGGGTACGGTCTTTTTTTCAATAGTTTTATTCATTTCAAACGGGCCGGATCCAGCCCACGGGCCGTAGTTTGCCCACGACTGATCTATACAGTTTAAAGAATAATATTAAACAAACACCCATGTAACCTAAATATTATTTTCTTTCTTTTTTATAGTCAATAATATTGTAACAACCACATATGGTGGTGCCATGTCAGCACTTGAAACATAAGGGGACCATGCTGCAAAGTCTATGACTGCCCAACCACCATGCGGAGCACCTGAAGTCATCACAATGCAATACCAAATGTAAATCATATTTGAAAAACAGAACAAAAGAGCACTCTGCGTGTTTTCAGCCCATCTTCCTTTAGACTTGTGGTTGCCCTTCCCCTGCTTCTGGTATGTAAACAGGTTCTAGTTTTGGTAAAATCTCACCCTTGATATCAGCTTTGCACTTGCCCCCAGTCTTTGGGTGAGCCAGTTCTTAAAGATCAGCATCCTGTCATGACATTGAATCTCAGATGCTCCTACATCATCTTTCTCTTGATCAGGTGTAATATCCTGACTCTCAGTTGGTGACTCTTTTTTAAAAAAATTTTTTTAATTGATTAAGTTATTACATATGTGTCCTTATCCCCACATTGATACTGGTCCTCAGTAGGCTGCTGGACAACCACTGGCTAGGAAGATTCTTCATCTTCTAGTATTTTTTTCCATATAGATTGTGAGATTACATGCCCTCTCATATTTCATACAGTTGAATCTCAACTAGCTAGAAAGAATCAAGACAGAAGGAACATAGCTACCTCTGGCCCAGCTCTCTAAATACGTACTTTTTAGAAAGGCAGAATCTGGTCCTTGAATTTGACTGGTGTGGAGCTTTGCAGGGCAGGCATGGAACGGGTTGTTAGAACATATAAATGTACCATAGTATGGATTTAGGGTGGGCAGAAAGGAGGTGGCAGGGGTGATGACATATTACCTATCTTCAAAGACCTGAAAAGACATTCAGCAGCAAGGCATGATGCCAAGACCAGTGAATCAGCTTCTCTCTCAACATCTTAACTCTACTGTAGTATAAATAATCCAGGTTTGATTGTACTTAAAGAGACAATTATGGATTATATCATATACTCTATGATATTCATAGAATGTCATAAAGATGATATTCTAACCCATTGATAAGAGGTAATAATTGGAGCATTCTTGTAGCAAATTTTCTGTTAAACTTTACATTCTTAGGTTTCAAATACCAATTTAAAATCACTTTGATTCATCTGGCACTAGAGCATCACAATTCCATTTCTAATCCCTGGAGTATCAAAGATTACTCTGTGCTTCAACTTAAAAGCTCTCCCTCTGGTCCCAGGTGCAGAAGCATACTTTGCAGCTAACCGCAGGAAACCTTTCTGTCATCTTGCCTGTCAGAGTTGCACCAAGTGCACTCAGTCCTTTAGTTGTCATTTTAATGGATAACTTTGCAGGTGTTATAAAGGGAATCTATTCAGAAAGAACATGATCAAGAGAAGCTCAAAGAGGAATGAAAAATGTGAAGCTTTTATTAAATGTCATCCTTTTTAAAGTTGATAGTCAAAGTCTTTGGGAAAAAAAGGCACCTTGTGAAATGACACAGTTCCATCTACTCTATTTGGGGAGGGGGGAGGCTAAAGGGTCCATTTTCATGTATGCAGCTTATTGGAAAAACTAATCACTACATATCTAAAGCCACTGGGCTATTTTGTTTAAAGGCTACTTTTAATGTTCTACATTTAAAATGGCAAAAAATATTCTTACACACTTCATAATTTTTTTTGGCCACAGATTTACATGGATGTTTCAGGTTGGTTAAATATAAATAGGCCTCATATATTTCTCTGAAAGAGGTCTGTCACGTGATGGGAGAAGAAATCCAAGCACCAGTGGAATTTTATGCTGCAGCTCTGACCTTCAGCCTTTCCTGCACATAGCAGAGGCCAACCCAATCTTTGTTTCTTCAATCTTCCACCAAGTTTTCTTTTGAAATTTTATTTTCTTTACACACAGACAATTTTTCTTAGATTCCTAGGAAGCAGGCTTCTTGGTAGAAGAAAACTGAGTAACTTCCACTATTAGAGAGCTCTTCAAATAATTTTTTTTAGTGCTATCACTTACTTCATATGCAGGTGACATGGTTGTCAATGTAGAAAATCTGATGCAATTTTACCAAAAAATATAAATAAAAACTACTAGAACTAGAACTAGTAAATGAATTTAGCAAGGTTGCAGAATAGAAGCTTAATATAAAAATTAATTGTATTCCTATACATTAATAATCAGAAATTAAAGTTTATAGACAATACCATAAAATAGCATTCAAAATATGCATATTAGACATAAATCTGCCAAGAGTATGCAAGACCTATACACTGAAAACCATAAAACATTAATGAGAAAAATTAAAGACCTAAATAAAGTGACATGCTATGTTTATGACTCTGAAAACTCAATGTTGTTAACATGTCAGTTCTTTCCAAATTACCTATATATTCAATTCAATCTCAATGAAAATCTCAGTTGGCTTTTTTGTGTTGAAATTGACAAGTTAATTCTAAAATTTACATTAAAATGCAAAATATCTAAATTAACTAAAATGCTTTTAAAAAGTTGAACAATTGAAATCTACCTGATTTCAAGACTATCATAAAACATAAGTAAACAGGACTATGTGGAAACAGCATATAGATAAATAGATCAATAGAATAGAAGAAAGAGTTTAAAAATATATAGATCAACATATAAGGACAACTGATTTTTGACAAAGGTGCAAAGACAAAAGTTGGATATCCATATATCAAAAAAGAGAACTTCATTGATACCTCTTACCATATGCAAAAATTAAGTCAAAATTAATCATAGATTTAAATACAAACTCTATTAATCTTTTGGGGAAAAAAAATAAGAAACTAAAAAGGCAAGCTACAGAGTGGGAGAAAAACTGTGCATTTAAATTATTGAGTTTATTTCTTAACTATTTTTTAAAAATATATTTTATTGATCTCTTACAGAGAGGAAGGGAGAGGGATAGAGAGTTAGAAACATCGATGAGAGAGAAACAATAATCAGCTGCCTCCTGCACACTCCCTACTGGGTATGTGCCTACAACCAAGGTACATGCCCTTGACGAGAATCGAACCTGGGACCCTTGAGTCCGCAGGCCTATGCTCTATCCATTGAGCCAAACTGGTTAGGGCTATTCCTTAACTATTGAGTTTCAAGATAAAAGTCTTAAAATTTTGTTATAAATAAAAGTTATTTATTAGGTATAAGTTTTGGAAATGTTTTAATTCAATTCGTTTGTCTTTTTATTCTTTAGTCTTTTAAAGAGCAGACATTTTTAATTTTGATAAAGTCCATTTATCAATTTGTTCATTTATGAATTATACTTTTGGTGTCATATTAAATAAATCTTTGTCTAACCCAGTGTTACAAATGTTTCCTCCTAAGTTTTCTTTTAGAAGTGTCAGTGTTTCAAAGGGATGGTTAAACTGGTCTCTACTGCTCTAACATGGCTTCAATAGGAAGTCCCGTTTCCCAGAGGATTTTAACAGTACCCAGATATCTCAAAATTATATTTAAAATGCAAATTTAGTTGATATACAAAGAATAGGAAAAAATCTCAACAACTCATAAGGAAAATTAAATTACTAAAAAGTTGTCTACCCTGTGGTGATCTGAATCTTGATAGCTATAATAAGTTGTTGCATGAAGTAAGGTTGGGCACTCTTGAAACAAATGGAAAGGTAGTATTTCTCAGCAAAGAAAAGCAAGTTGTAAAAAAAAAGTCCACCCAAACAAACAGATACTTTAGAATAAAAAATAAAGTAAGTAATGATGATAGAGGAAAGAATCTATAAACTTGAATAAGCAATATAAATTATCCAATCTGAGCAACAGAGAAAAAATATATTAGAAAAAGGCAAGTTATCAGGTCTCAGAGACCTGTGGAGTCATATTAAAAGGTGTAGCATTCATTCCAGATGTGTCCTTGGAGAAGAAAATGTGATTGGTGCAGAATAAATATTTGAAGAAGTAATGTCTGAAAACACCCCAAATTTGGTGAAAGACATAAATTTACAACTTTTCTCTAACTGGATAAGCTGAAAGGAAATCATGCCCAGATAAATCTTAATCAAGCATATAAAACACAATATAAAACCCAAACTGAGTGGTCCAAATTCATTCATTTTTCAATTTTCAAAGTGCGATTCTGGCCCAAACCTCTGGATGGGCTTAGAACTCTGCCAGTAACACTCTGTGCAGGAGGAAGAAACATTTCCCATTTCGTGTCTCTGGCAGGCAGGACTCCTCTGCTTTGTTTCAAGATTAATTTTCTCGCTAAATCTTTGTACTTTTTGTTCTCAAAATCTTTATGGGAAGAACAGACAGATCTGGATGATCCAGATGGCTTTGGCCAAGCGATGTCACAGTGCAGATGGAATACCCAGCTAGGCTTGGGGAGGAGGGAGAACTTTCCCTAATTTTTTCTCTTGGGTTTCTTTGTCTCATCCCTGTGGCAGCTACTCCGTGACCTTAGTTGGCCCATCAATGTGACTCCCTTTAGAAATGACTCTTTAAAGTGGTATCTCACTTGTTCTTATCATAGGTCCTAAAGTTGTGACATATCTTTGTCTTGTTTTCCCAGTGCAATGATGATGCTTATGATAGGTACTACGCATGAGGTCTTTGGTCTTGCACCACTCGCTGCTTGACAGCTGACTTTCACTCTGTGCTTCTTTGAGCTTCCCTTGGAAAGGCCACTAGCCACCAGGCCTGCACTTCAGCATCACCCGCCATCTTTCCCTGAATGCTTTGCAGCGCCTGAGGAACTGTCACCTGCACACCCTTTGTTATTTTGTAAGTCAATATTGAACCCCAGGAATATGTGAGAATGGGAGAACACGGAAAGTTTGAGTGAGCAAAACACCCAATGAGAAGTGGACCCATGGGATGAGAGCTTATGATAGCACTTTATTGATCATGCGCACTCTATATAAGAAAACATTTATTTATAGGTCAAAAAAGTTGAATATTGGTAATTTCATATGCTTCACCCTAATAATTGTACTCTTCCTCACTATAGTGAGTATATAGAGTCTCTAAATATTTTTAATAAGGAATATTTCTGTGATGAGAGTATTATAACAAATCAATGCTCCATAGGGCAGTGCTAATTAACATATGTACATTACTATTGCTGTTGTTATCATTAGACTGTAGTCACCAAACAGGCTAATCCAAGGGCAACCCAGATGAGTCTTGCCAGGCCACTTTCCTGTTGTCTGTTTCCTAGTGATGGGGGTGTGGGCTAAGCATGGAGGCAGCAGGCTGGCATAGGCTTCCTGTCCAGAGCACTATCACTGAGCCATCTGTTTGCTCCAGCTGACCAAGATATTTACCCTGGGAGGAGATGAGCATTAGGTGTCATGTGATCCACTCATCAGTGAACTATTTCCACTGATTTTGGAGATTTTCAATACAGATGGCACCAAAGGCTGTGTGGCAAAATGTGAAGTGTATATTCACATGGGCTTTTGGAAAGTAG